CCACACATCCAGAGGGCTGCACAATGAGTAGGGTGCAGTCCCTCACAAATCCGATTAGGGGTTGCACCCACCCATGTCAAAATAACCAACGGTAAAACACTTTCTCCCTAAAAACCACAGCCACAATGAGGTCAATAAGACAGCACATGCAGTCATTGCATTCGAGAGCACACCACCTCCCTACAAAAAGTGGCCTTGAAGCAGAGACCAGGGCCACTGAGACCAAGCCCTGCTTTCTCGTACTTTGCCCCGATCATAAAACCAACCAACCCAGCCAGCCCCACGGGCTCAATTCCCACACACAGCTGATTCACCTCAATCATCCCTTCCCAGCACTCATGCACTGCTAACACGACTTATCCACCTTTCCTTCTGCAAGTTCATAGACCTTGAACTTTTTACTACATCACATTTGCACTCAACTCAGCCCAAACTCCCAGTGGCCCAGGATAGCTTCACTAACATATCTCAACATTTTAAATTAAAAGTTATCTGGATTTATTATTTACCATAACGAAAGACTGAATAAAAAGAAAAATAGAATTGGTCTTAGCTACTCTTTTAAAACAGCTGTCTGACATTAAGCAAAGTACTATTACTAGTGGCCAATGGGCCTACAACGAGTTAATGTAACACACATGTATTTCTGACACAGGATCAGCTTTACAGAGGGAGAAAGCAGTGAGCAGAAGGGAATGTATCAATGGCTGAGCAGCAGAGAAAACCAAATTTTGTCTTATGGAAGATGGAACATAATTACAAAGTATTAATTCTATCACTCTATGCATAAACACCCATGGAAGGATACTAGTCATAAACTGCTTACGCTTTCAAATACATGTAATATTGTGTGCCCTTCTGACACAAACATCCTCTCTGAATGTCACCATAGTTCTGTGCTGACTATACCACAACCCTTTCAATCAGTTTGCCAGTGGAGAAAACAGCAATACACATCTTAAAATCACTTGTTTACACAGTAACTCCTCTCCTGAAACAGAGGAGCTCAACAGACAAGCTCTAAGAACAAAGAAAAAGGTATTGCTGTCTTTCACAATTTTCCTCCCCAGAAACTATTCAAGATACTCATTCAGTAAACCAAAACAAAACCAAAAACTAAGGCTGCTAGGAACAAGGACCAGAAAGCCTGCAAAACTGTGCCACCTGGCAATGCTCCTCAGGGCAGCACACACCACATCCAGCCTTCCCCAGGGACAGAAGAATTTTGCAAAATCAAATCCATTCTATTAAAAATAATTCTAGACTATAAAAACATGAAGAAAAAAAAAATACGCTTTCTTTTTCTTCTTTTAAACACTGTAATACATGCTCATGCTCTTTCTCTGTATGTATACACATATGCTATGTATGTATGCATGCATGCATATAACGTATTTACTTTTAAGCTCACCAAGTAGGTAGAGTTCACACTTCCAAAAGTAAATGCTTCCTTTCCCTCCACTTGATGTCAACATCCAGGCTCCAGGGAAGCTGTCCTTGAGTGCCCCTACCAAACTATGGCTGCATAGCTCATGGAGCAAACTGAAGTCAAGACCAAGGACACCACAAATCAGAAGCAGGGTGCAAAGGCAGTGCTATGGTTCTAACCTAGATCCAGGACCAAGCACCACCCTGTTGTAGTTTCTCGGTCAGCCTCCAGTGGGAGGCAAGAGCTTACCGTGCACTGGAGTGGGACCCACACCCTAACTTTCAGTAGGGTAGTTACACATACGGCCCATGCAAGGAAGGTGGGAGTTGCAGACATTTTCACACATGTTGACCACCATCTCTACTTCAAAAGTTCAGTTTCTTTTACAAATAAAGGGAAGATCAAAATTTCAAAGGTGATCTTCCTGATAAAATTGTGACTGTAAGCTCAGCTGGCCACAGTAGTGTTTAACAAGCCACTAGTTTTTTGACACAGTGCTTATTGCTATTCAAAAAGAGCAGAGGATAAAATACACAAAGAGAAGGAAATGTTATTGTTTTCTTTCTGCTCATCTAAATCCATCCCCAACAGGCTAATGGAAGTTTTACTATTTATTCACAGGAGGTTAACTGGCCCAAGGGAGAAAAAATTACTCTCCTATTAAAAATTTCCAACTATTTAAAGTAAGTTTTGCTGGAATCACTTTTAAATATTAATGGTGACTGTTATACATTTGTCCCCAAATACTGCTCTTTTTTGATGACACTATAGTGGCAGGTTTGGAATCTCAAAACCGATCTTGTTAACAGTTTGTCTTATTCAACTAAACAAAAACAATAACACCCTCAAAGAAGAAGTGACAGTGTTGTTTCCATTTCATACAGAAAAGGTGGTAAAATTACTTATTTCACTGGACTATTTAAATATGCCAGTATGTATTTTTGCCACTTCAAAAACAAGATCAATTCACACAGTTCTTAAAGACATTCTCGAGTAAGGAAGAAGTTAATGGAGTGATATGTTTGAGGCTGGACTTGGTAAATCCTGCCTATCTTCAAGTGGAGTTTTAGATGGTCAAACAATTAGGCTCTCTCTGCATCCTTCATGGAAAGAAAATGACATTCCCTGTGGTACTGAAAGATGGCAGTAGCTTTTGAGAATGCATCACTAGACAGGTGCTAAAGAAATGCAGTGTTCATGGCAAAGTATAAATGGAAATCGGATACGCTTTCCTTTTATTAGTAGGCAGTAACACATTAGCAGAATTGGTTTGAAATTGCTTATTTCTGATGTTTGGACATACACAGCCCCTATCCATCCCATGCGCAGATCGATGTGATCTGACATCTGCAAAATGCAGCCCATAACAGGAACACATAGCCACCAACTGTGATATAAGTGAGTAGCTCAAGCTCATAACAAACATGCTACCTGGCTAGGGACAAATATGAATGAGTGACGTACAAAAGCTTTAGTTGGGAAACTTCTTTCCCCTCCCCCACACCTATCCCTGATACATTTGCTGGGTACCTTTCAGGTTCCCAAAAGATCAGACAAGATTCTTAAAAAGATAGCCCTAGTTCAAGCTCGCATCAGTGTTTGAGAGCTTAATTCTACAGGCAAAATAGTGTTATTTTAACATAAAATTTTATGGTGGAAGAATGTCTATCAACAATTTAAGCTCTAAATAGCTGCAAACTAAACAAATGAGTTTTGTTCCTCCCATCCTGAGGAATGCCACAGTTCAAAACTTCAGCATGTTAAAAGCAATCAAGATGCTACAAAATCCAGGGAAGTAAACTCAAAGATTGGATTACTTGGTTGCCATTCCCGCAAACATATATTGTGAATGGTCCTAACGGTTTCCAAGCAGTTGTTCACAGGCTAAAGATGCTCAGATACATAGACAGTTATTGGGATAGAAATTTAAGGTTCCAGAAGTCCAAATACAAACAAAATTGTTTCCCTCAAATGTGATTGCATTCATGAGATTTAAAATTCCCAGAACACTATTTTTTACAACTTGCTGAAATTCAAGTCCATTTTAGAATTCAAAGCAGATATCTATCAACACTAATCTTGGATAAATTCAGTTTCTTTCCACAACATTTTCATATGAAGGGTTTGGAGCAGGTACAACTCCAAAATATCCTCATGTACATTCTTGATTTTATGAAGGTTATGTTAATTCAGTATTCATAGTACTAAATACTAATACTGAATAATACTAGGTATTCTTATCTAGCTAACAACATGAGCATAACCCAACAAACAATATGCCAAAGGTCAGGAAATTTCCTATTAAACAGGTACCTTCAGCAGGCAATA